AGTATGTTTTGATATCGAGGAGGGCCTGTGAATTGGATATTCATAAGATCCTGAAAGAAAAGGCGAATAAGAATTTTGTAAAATATCCCTAGAATGTCGTGTCTCGTTAAAATCATAGGAATATTTTAAGTCTGATAAGTAAGAGCGCAGTATGAGAAAATTAAAGTCTGTCTCTGCTAACTGGGCTGGTAAACTTTGACACTATTGTAGGTACACACGATATCATATGTGCTTTACTATATTAAAGCTTCCCTAGGGATATATGAAGAATAAGAATATCCCGTCTAGGGATACAAGAATACAACGTAAGACGCGTTGCACCGTAAACATACTCATACGTAGCCACGACATCAATCTTCATCCATCAGTTATGCCTCGACCCCAGGAGGGCTCCTTTGCGGCACGGTTACCAACTTCACAGATCGATTGATCTTGCCTCGCGACTCCTGGCAACACTGGCATAACTCACCAGGATCTGTTGATCCCCACAGATGCAGCAGGGATGTAGAATAGCGTAACCAAAAGCACGATACCAAAATTGTAAAAAAGTAGTGCCAACGAGCACTTAGGTAAATTCCCTAGTAAATTCTTTCCTAATAAATTCCCTAGGAAAGAAGAATTACCGGGGGAAAAAAAATCTAATAAGTGCATCTTGGCACGTGGTGCTGATGTAGAGTACGTGCAATGATCATTCGCGCACGTTTAGGTTACTGATACGAGGAAATCTATAATATAAAGGAGGTGGACCAGTCATTAATTTCCAGACAATAAAACGTAACGCGTCCAGCGTGAGAGAGACACGCCCACGCGAGGAAATAAATGCTTTTTGCCATAGTGACTCGTGTTTGCCTTTGGTATTTTGGGGCTCGGCAGTGGCAGCAGTCAGTTAAGGGTGGCTGCAGTGGTGGTGGGCGCGAGAGGGCGAGTTAGAGCATGGCAATTGATGATGCCAGGAATGGGAGTCACTTGGTGCCATTGTCCAGAGCCACGTGCCTCGCTGCCGTAACGTTGCCCCTAGTACCAACCCCCGATATCCTGGTACCCTTCTTTATCGTCCAACAATACTTGTGCGATCGTACTCCAGCTTCTGGATGGACCAAATTAATTGATCCCGCGTGATCTGGCATTGCGCAAGGGTTAAACTAGGCCGTAAGCACCGTGGAAATACTATGGTTGAGATTGTACAAAGCGTTTATTTCAATATTTCCGCACGCATCGATGACTTTTACTTGGCAAGGGTGGTAGCATAGAGGGGGGGTAGTATAGGGTGCGATTTCTTCTACGGGACGTGCCCATGGGATTTTGACATTCATTTTACATTTGGAACAATGCTTTCTGGAGCCTTGTAAACCCGTAACAAGGTACACCTATCGTGATCCTGTGGGATGGACATTTGGAGATTTATCTAGTAATCTTTTATTCCAGGGGAATGACGTCAATTTCGTAGGCAGTAATAGCGCGTAATCGCCGGAGACGTTGCCAAAGACGGAATTCAAGTATCGACTGTCTCCTTAGGTGGCTGCCTCGTGTATCTGATGGGTACATACTTGTAAAACTGGTTTTATGGGAAACTCCGTAGCCTGGGATCTCCCGATCATCGAGGTACTTGTCACGTAGTTGCGTACCGGTTTACGCACTTTTTGCATCATAAAACGTCATCCTGGAGAACATCCTTGGATAGCCGTGCGCGTGCCGTCGCGACGCCTCAGCCTCGTCCTCTGGGACCGTCAGCGTTAATCAGAGTACCCGTTGCATGCGGAACGTGGGGTAAACACAAAATGCAAAGTACATAGATTGAAGGAGTAAAAGAGAAAGAGAAAGACAGTGAATAAAAATACATCCAAGAGATGAGAGAGCAGCATCCATCCTACTGCAACGTTGCCAACGTAGTAAAAAAGTTATTATAAAAATAATCAAAGTTTCCTTCCGTCGGACTTGGCGGGGTCTCGTCTCCATTGCCTCCTTCTAGAATCCAAAGGAGTAAGAGAGAGACCAGATACATTAAGTGCTGCTAAGAGAGAGAGAGAGAGAGAGAGAAAGGAGAGAAAGAGGGGAGAGTAAACTCATGAGATCCTTTCGGGACTCTCGCACGCCTCTGGTCGTCTCGACTTCATTACGTTTGACAATTATGCGTTAATTTGCACCTAGCGATACTTCAAACGTTTTTATTCATTGCGCGTCGAACCAAGTTACGTCGAAGTGGCGTTCCGTGGTAGCGAGTTACCCCTCGAGTCCGAGGGTATCTACCCCTGGTCTATCCTTGGTTAAGGGATGACGGCAAGGAACAAGCAGGACGGCTGATGGTACCGAGGTAAAGAGACCGGAGGACTTCAGAGGTGTAACGTAGATTTCTGAAGTTTTATATTTTGAACTTCCTGCCAGCCTGACTCGCGGATCGGACTGAGTTTTATCAAAGGGCCGATATGATAATCAAGGCCTCAGCTGAATGTGTAACGAGTGGTAGAGTAGACGGGCCCCGTGATTAGCTTTACTTTTTTACCCTCGAGGAGATGTGATCTTTCGCCTTATGCTTTTTAATATCGTACTCCTGTATGAATATGATATACGCGTGTGAATACACAATATATATATATATATAAGTATATACAGCGAGTGAAAAAAGCCAGAGAAAAAAGTATACACCAGATAAAAGATAGTTATTTTGAGATAAAATGATTTTATTCATTTTAGTGATAAGCGAAGCTTCAAGTATAATATTACTATAGATTGTGACTCTTAGCTGAAAAATTGTTTCTTTTCTACTACGGCAATACATGACCTCATGGAATTAATGGGAATTTAGGGTAAATCGTTATAATGATAAAAAAAGGTACTAGACTAGGGACTTTTTCCAATGAGAAATCCAGGGACGTAATCTTCCTTCTCTTTGTAAAAACGTAACAGATTGGTAACCGCATTTAGCTGGACGTTCGTCCTTCTCCTTTCGACGGTGGTGCGGTGTGCGGCCACCCCATCGGCTACGGTGCTATTAACTAATGCCACCCCTGTAGAACGTCACGCCATACGTGCACCAGGGTGTGTGAGTATATACGTGGTGGATATGCCCGTAGGAACGGGACAGTTTAAGCCTTGATATATCGCCTGGCGACACTCCCAACTTCTGTCGCCGTTTTGTATCGCTTTTTCTTTTCATTTTATTCGTCTCTCTCTCTCTCTCTCTCTCTACTTTTTTCTCTTTTTTTTCGTTACGCTCTCGGCTGACCATATGTCCACGGAAGCCGAATCCCATGAACAGGCATCTACAACACTAGTCCTTTTGTTTCTATTGGTTACCTGAAAGTGTCACGTGGACAGGACAATTCGAAAATTTACCGTTAAATGATTTGTATTCTTTTTACGTTATTCATATGCTAAAATTGGTACACCCGTGTATATTTATTATGAAACCAGCTATATAAATTCTTTCATTCAATTTAATTAAGCAGGGATTATGCGAAAAATTCAGGTGAAACGAATCGCATTGAAAGCAATGAAAAAATGGCTCTCAATTTATCCGTGTGGATGGTACCTTAAAGTTTTGGTTTTAGGCGAGAAACCACCAGCAGGCGTTTATACGGTTGAACGATTTCTAATTCCCTAACGCATTTGCGTCTAAGCGTAGTCAGAGGCAGTTTAGTTTAGCGTAGCAGCGGTAGGTATCACCCTTGTCGTATCTAACAAATGATGCCACATGCTCCTATCTTGACTTGTACATTAAGAGGGGTAGGTTTGAAGTTACCCTTGATACACCATAGCGTATACGTTATAGGACCTACAGTATCAGCAGATTTTACACATGGGGTCCACGTAGCAATCGGTACAGTTGGCAAGTGAAACTAGGAAAGGCTAACAGGCGCAGTGGGACCATTATCACGAAGGTCCCAATCGAGTGGTCCCCAATTATTTAGCCGCTAATGCACCCCCCCGTATGTCACCGTCTCTTGGCACAAGCACAATATGTTCCTCTGGATGAGAATTCTGTCGCATTTGCATCAGCGGGAGCTTCCTTGAAGATGGGTGGTATACGTATAGGAACCAACGTATGCAGTACGATACCGTCGCTAATGTCACGGGGACTCGGTAATGAGCGTAATATCTCAGTCGTGCGTTACGTATAGGTGATTGTCGGCGGCGCCCCGAATGGGATTGACGTTCTTTCTTAACAAGCCGGCGTAAACGCGCGGACATATGTCAGAATTAGGCACAATGTCGATGAGGAAACAGGTGGGGCCCAAAAAAGGTGTACCAGCCTAACCCTTATGCGGACGGTACTTTTAGCTTGATAAAAAGTGGCTATCAGTTAACCTTTTAAGCATGTCAAGACGGATTGTTCGGTGGCTTTGGCGGTGGCAGACCAAGCCACGAGGATAATGGGCCCTGTGGTACCCGACACGGCCAATGGGACGAAGCGGCGGACGGCTGGAATGACTGGGACCAACGTAAGGCCCAAGAATAACCGGATGAATGAATGAATGAGAGGATGAATGTCGGATGGTGGGAGGCGCCATTTGTCGCGATCGGTTCCGCTCTTTTGGACTCTCGACCACGGGGCCTTACCTCTTTTTATCTCTTGGTCACGTACGATTTTCTGTGTTTTTCCTTTGTCTCTTTTCTTCTTTCCCTTTTCTTATACTTTGTTTTTCGGAAATTTACTTCCAACTACGTTCCACGAACAGAGTGCAATGGATAATTGTACTGTTAACTGGGCCTAATATTTGGGACTTGGTCTTTTTTTTTTCGCAAAATAAAATTACGGACTACTAAGCTGGGCGGGTTATCCTACTTCGGGGTTATTGGCCAGTCGTCTGGAAGGGCGCGATCCTTTCTACGAAAATTAATCAGTCGCCGGAAGTTTGCAATTTTTTCAATGGCAGATAGAGATTGCCTCTTATAATTTAATATAAATCTGCATAATATTAGACGACCTCGTCACGGATAAGATACCCTATGTACTTCCGAATCAAAAAGTATATATATTTATATATGTATATAGCACTCACCTCCAAGAGATTCGTATTACCGACTTCCTCGTAGTAAAATAATGAAAAAGTGGAATCTGAAATCATAACAAAATCCAATGTCATCGTAATCATTTTCAATATATCTTATATTACATAAGTTTCCAAAAATCTCGCGTCAAATGCCTCCAAAGTTAATTCCTATGGCTGTGTAAGAGATAATCAAGATTCCTGGAAATAATTCTCACTCGCTATCAATCGCCCTCTCTTTCCTGAATCGCATGCATAATGCACTCTTCTACCTACGCATCCATCTCCAGAAAGAGATAGATACATATACACAGTATTATAGAGAAGAAGAACACATATCCTCGATTACCTAATGGGCTCCACTTCTCTTTGTATTTTCTGGTTTTCTATCGACTCCTGGTTAAGATCAAGAATATGTCCTCATAAATTTTATCGAGCAAAGTGCATGAGACTTAGACGCTTGTGCGTGGCCATTCGATTGAATTAAGCATCCCGAGGCAAATTGCCGTTGAATTATCACGGTTTATCGCGATAGTAAAATGATAATTTCTTAGCTCTACTGGCATCGTGTAAATCTGCTACGGCTGATATATAGTATTACAGTCATAATGTATAGTGACGGTTCGCAAAATACATAGAAACGATGGAAAAGGTTATTTTGAGAAAATGAAAAGAGATAGGAAAGAGGAAAAGAGGCAGAAGAGCTAAATACGCGTGGACAAGAGGAAAAAAAAAGGATAGAAAGTGTATAAGGAAAAGAAAGAGAACGACAATGGTGATACGAGTTTAGGGGATGGTTATAAGAGTTAGCCAAACGGCAAACAAGATCGCAAATTTGCAAAAGTGGTTAAGGGTGGGGAGAAGCAGCGAATGAGCCGTCGCAATAACGACGAAGCAAATGGCGAATAAACAATTCCATTATATTTATCAGATAATGAAAAGACAACAATAAAACCGCAATAACCCGTAACCGTATGAGAATTCGAGACCCTCGGCCCTTTTGGATAAAGAACCGTGATCCGCCAGCTTTCCCTTCCTTGTCATTAATACCAGGCGACTGTTACATATGGATGAGATTTCTAGGTTAGGCTAGGAAGGACACATAGGTATCTCACATATGTGAAACGAGTATAGGGAAACCGAATTCATCGACTAAAAGCATTCGCGAATAGGCAAAAGTCATTTTCATTTATTTCAGGGATCTTTACTGCATTAACGAGGCTATAGAAGATTTTGTTAAAATTGACAGACTCAAAAAAAATAATAATAATGAGTCAAAGAAATACATTAAAATTTATTGTTAATCAATTTGATCGAAATGGTAGCAATATTAAACTGAAATTTTAGTATCGATCTCTGTCTTGTACAGGCTGTTTCATTCTGCTCGATAGAAACAATAAATCTGTCAATGTATCCCTGATCCAGGGGTGGATGCGGATGGGTAAACCGCAATATAGGTAATAGCAGGAGGCATCAGCTACTTAACAAATTGCTACAAATTGCTGTGGGCATTTAGCGTTTGGACGCAGGAATTCTGTGGTCGGACCCCCCGACCCCGTCAAGAGTAAGAGGGTAGTCAAGGGGTGGAAGGTGAAAGGAGGGTGGTAAACTGTCCATGGTTTCATCCTGGTAGTTCTGTGGTGGCCACATGGTGTTCCCATATGTCCGGTAGTCCACCCCTAATACTAAGTGTCCACTGGAGTAGACAAATCTTGCACGCTCGAAGATAGAGGATCCTACAGAAAAGCTATATGGGGTGGCTGTTTTCACTGGGTGTTAACCGACTTTACCCCTGGACCGTTTATTCACTGGACTTGGCCACAAAAGGCTGATTAACCTCCGTGGTAAAGGAAGGGTAGTTTCGAGAGTCCGCTTCATTTTGGATTCTGGAATCTGGGCTATTTAGAAAAATACGTGATAGTGTGTACGTATATATTTTTTATTTACTTTAATTTTTAATGATTAACACGATCAAGGATTACTCGTATGCCTTATAGGTTATTTGACTGGATTTCCACTCAAACCGCATATTAACAGCGAGCGTGACGAAATCAATTATCACGTGCGACATGCACGTTTCTCGTTCGCACGTTTTTGCTTCGTTAAAATCGCCCTTTGATTTCCTTATAGAAATTATGTTTCTTTTGTAACAAATAATTTCACCTACGACTCTCTTATTACACCTTACTATCCTCAGAATGATATCGAAAAATTCACGTGAAGTTGTTGTTTCTATAGGGTAGTGACATTTCTAGGGGCGTAGAGATTGAGGATACTTTAGGATTTAAAATTATTCGTCAATTAATGACACGTGTATATATATCATTTATAATTGAGCAAGTGATATATGATAAGCTATGAATTAAAGAAATACAGAAAGGCAATGTATATATTTAATGTGAATACGTAAGGAGAAAGCGTGTCCGTGTCATGAAATGACACACCTGGATCTACGGGATTCACACACGGCCACACATCCTGCCTGTCAATACATCATTAATCATCAGTTGACAGAGCTAATGATACTTTAAGAGTAATGCCCCCGGGCCAATCAGTGATCGCGTGCCGTCCACCAATCGCCCCGTTAATTTCACGGGTATTTAACGCGATTCACCTAACAATGATTCAATCAAACCGGATTTATTTAGCCGAGACTCAAACCACCAGCGTCACGAGCCGCTCATTAACACTCCCCATATCGGTTAATTTTCGAAAGCTTAAACATCCCCGCGTGTTTGGATAATTAATTATGATAATGCAATGCACATATCCAAAGAAAATTTTTGTACAGAGTATTAAATAAATTAGGTGATAAATCATCTCTTTCAAAATTCCCGCGCAAGCGTCGCTACTTCAAAGCGAATGAATTCCGTGTATGCGGTGGGACGTTGTAAAAATCACATCTATAAAGGAAAGGGGTTGGATTTCTTTTTCCTCGTGGATCTGACAACCACCGACCTCTCCGGTGGTCGCTCGGAAATTTCGTTCAGCCAGGGTAGCACCGGAGTCCAGGGTGCCATTGGTATCCTGGTGCGAATGTTGTCAGCCAATTTTCTTGGCCAGTGCCTCTGAATGCTGCAGATTTCCATCTAGCCTGTGCTGTACCGTGTGCCTGTGTCCTGCTGTATGTACTGCGGCGAGCATGCTGGGTAAATACCCAGGAACCACCCCAGCTAACCACAACTGTGATTATAATTCGCATCCCTGTGCCAGCGACCCCCATACATCCCAGGGCCGTAGTGTTGGGGGGCGAGGGGGTGAACAGGCCGCTGTAAAGGATTATGCACGCGGATTTAACTGATGAATCACATTGTCGTCTTGATTCGCGGTGGCGTTAATTTTCGGGGGTGACCATCCCCCTTAGGATGAGTACGAGAGGATAGAGAAATCAGAGGGTGAGGATGTATCAGCGCCATCTTGAAAAGACCTACTCTGACTATAATAGCAGGATGCTTATATCTACGTATAAAATAATGAATAAAATATTTTTTATCCCTTCTAGACAAAAAAAGAAAAATTCCATCCTATAAGTAATTTCAATCAATTTTCTGATCGATTTCATCTTCTAAATGCCACTGGTTGGCTAGGCGTTAATAAAGGGATATAATACAAGAATAGAACAGGGTATGACCATGCCATAAAGGTATCTAAAAGCATATCCAGAATTAGTCATTTCCAATTGGTGCCAGACCTCAACGTTGGATTATTAATTTTGCCAATAGCGAAATATCGAGGGTGTATCGAAGCACAGATGGTGTATCACGAGTCAATATACTTTAATCACTGATTCCACGACCCCAACCAAATCTCCTACTTAATCAATGCTATCAATGAGTTACACATTCCCTCCATATGGTATAAACCAGCTATCAAAGAGTTTCCGGGAAAATCCGAAAAATAAATAAAAAATTTTTCCATCTTTCAAAAATTCTCTTCGCGACGTCTCTGATGCTCATACGAATCACTCGTATATACATATGCACATATGCTCGGATTTTCCAGGATAAGAATCGTGGTCAGAATAAGAGAGACAGAAAATATAAAGAGAAGCTCTCCTGCCTCTGGCTCTTGGTAGAGTCGGGACATGATCATGGACCACAGACTCTCAGAGTGGGATACGGGAAGAGAGGTAGGAGAGAGGCCAGGGTAAAACCAGGACCAGGAGGTAGAGGACACCAGAGAGGAGAATAGCTACGAAGGAGGCAGAAGAGGAGAGGACAATCCCCTCTTCTTCTCACGTTGACTTGAACGCCCGCGATATCTCGACCAATCAAATCACGCCGCGGGCTCCGCCTTTTATCATTATTTTACTTGTTTTCCCTTTACTTCACCCTCATTGGATGACATTCCCTTGGCCGCTATGGTAAAAAAGGTACTTCGCTAGGAGTCCATGCTTTCCGAGTCCCTGTACCTTTAGTACCTTAATCATTTACCTTATATATATATATTACAATGTATACCACGTCCGTACTATATTTACTTCGTCTTACACCTTAACATTTATTCGCATAGTAATATCATATTCCACCTATACGAACTATACGTATATATTCTTATGGTACGAATGGCAAGACACCATTTTATAAGAGGATACAGTCCCGGCGTGACGTCACGGGTACTATTAGATATTAAATACCATAAAAAGAGTCTCGAGAATTCTCAAGATACCAGACTCTGAGATTCCGAGAAGATACCTTGAAATCTCGCAATTCCTCACCCCTAGGGAACACGTAATAAATATAGTAACGGAATAAATTCTTTCGCGGATCACGAAGTGCATATATTCAGGTTTGATACTAATCCTTGTAAGATCGACACGATCTTCCTGAATGGTATATATATATCTTACAGAGAGTATGACCAGATAGTTAAGGGTTGTAAAATATCCACCCTAGCACGTTATACAGGCAACCCGACCTTACGGTTCCCAACACTAGGAAATTCTCAAGTATCGCCAAGGGCGACCGTCTTCAAGCCTCGCCGACTCTTACGAGCTGAATTATCGCTCTGATGACCGATGCTACATAAATAGTATGCAAATCAGTGTCGGCTTTACAAGGTATAACTT